TGACTGGATTGCCAAGAAATATCTTCCCTTCTCGTTTTTCGATGACGAAGATACACAAAAATATGAAATATGCCCAATTTTGGTATTTCCTAAGAGTTCGACAGTTCGAAGGATGGTTCAAGAGCGGTTTGAAGTACTGCATACGCGTGTTAAGAGTAGACTACAAAAATACTCATGTAAAATGTCATTCACTATTGATGGATGGACGTCAATTGCTGGTAGGAGTTACTATGGGGTCACTATTCATTATATATATAATGAATGGAAGTATCGATCTCTAGTCCTGGATTTTATTCCATCGAGTGGTGGACATACAGGGATGGATATTGCAATGGATGTTCCACAAATGTCTTTTGGAATATACCTTAGCTGATAAAATTCAAGGTATCACAGTCGACAACGCAACTGCAAATACCAAATTCATGTATGAACTTGGAAAACTACTGCCACATTTTGATTCGGATAATCAACATTTTCGATGCATTGCTCACATCTTGAACCTGGGCGTACAAGATTTATTGAATAACTTAGCGTTAAATATTGAAACTGACAGTCAAGAACAAGAACAGCAGTATGAAGACGAAGAAGAGCAAGTTGAAGAATATGTGCCAAATATTTCTGACTCAAGTACGGCTATTACAAAATTACGCAGTATTTGTAGTAAAATAAAAAGAAGTGAGATGTTGAAGAGGAAGTTCCAGTCGGCTTGTGAAACAGCTGGTGTGCCAACAAATCTGAGTCTCATACTGGACTGTCCAACAAGATGGAATTCCACACATGATATGATTGGATTATGTTTAAAACCAAAACCTGGCATTAACATATTATGCACTTCTGTGTCTGATTTGAATAATTTTGTAATGTCAGAAATTGATTGGAAAATACTCGAAAAAATATATAAGTTTTTGATAAACTAAACTTCTAACAACGAAACTTGGTGGAGAAAAATATGTAACATTACCGCTAGTGATTGTGTCGTTCAATGTTCTGCTTGATAAAATTGAAGCTATGATAAAACAATTAGACGACAAACCTAATCGAACCGAAGTAGATGAGAGGCTCATTTTGGGTTTCCAAGCCGCCCAAAATAAAATGCTTAAGCATTATAGGATGACCAACTGGATTTACTGTACCACCTTAATTTTAGATCCAAGGCACAAATCTCAGACTTTCGATATGACACTATGGGGACAACAACTAAAATCTGAAAGCCTGCGTAAATTTGAAGAACTTTACAAGGAATATAAAAACCTACACGCAGTGCCTGGATCTCCAGGATTACCAAGACATGACAATGAAGTATGTGAATATGATGAAGACGAAGACGTAATCCATTTTAATAGATTGTATGCATGCCCCTCTACATCATCTGGATCTGGTATTCAACGCTTCAATAACAATGAGTTCGAGGATTATCTAAATAAACCGAGGGCCGCAAGTTCGAAAGACATCCTACAGTGGTGGAGGACGCATGAATCGGAGTATCCGATTATATCCAAGATGGCTCGGGATTTTCTTTCAATACCGGCAACTTCAGTGCCTGCTGAGAGATTATTCTCTAAAGCCTCTTTAGTTATTAGAAAACATAGAAATAGGTTAAGTGACGAGTCAGCCAGATGGTTACTTTGTATAAATAGTTGGTCGAACGAAATAATATAATTTTCATTCAAATAAATAATTAATAAAGCAAAAGATTCGTTTTTATGCTGTATTTTTACCCCAGACCCTCATTGTAGATAAACCTGCGGATTACGATACCTGCACCCGTATATTTTCATTTTTACGAGTTATAGTAACAATAGGTAATTACAAGACTTGCAAGACTTGCGAGACTCTTGCAGCAAGACCGAGACCAAGATCAAGACTGAGTGTGCAATACCAAGACCAAGACCAATACCAGGTTTACCGACGCAATACCAAGACCAAGACTGGGGTTAGTCTCGTCTTGGTTTTGCTTTGGTCAACACTAGATGTACTGTATGACGCAAAAGGGTTGCTACATAATTGACTTTGCAGAATAACAATAACTTGTTCTGCAAAGCCAATTATGTAGCAATCCTTCTTTTCATCTTTGAAATTACAAAGTGATGTTGCGTTAATAAAACATTCTTCAATATTTGATAATCTTATTGAGGCATTAATAGCTGCTGGAGCAAACTTAGAGGAAACTGATAAAGTTGCCCATTTGTTGCTTACACTTCCCGTAACTTATGATGGTGTAAGCTTTGTCAGAGGACAATTTGACCTTGCCTTATGTAAAAATTAGACTTTTAGATTTTGAAGTAAAACTGAAAACTGAATCTACCGACACAAGTACTAAAGTTTCGCACGTAAATACTGAATGGAAAACTACAATTTTTTAAAAAAGGAAATTTGAAAATAATTCTCAACCACACTATAATTTTTATAAACACAAAGAAAATCCACCAAAGAATATGATCAATTATACTAAATGTCATCAATGTGGACGCAAAAATATGTTATTTGGCAAATAATTATACACACGAATGCTCGTAGAATAAACACTTCTTAGTTTCTTAGTAGCAGTAGAGCTCCTTGTGAAAGAGGGAAGTACGGCCACCTTACCTATTTCTGCCAGTAAGCAGTAATGTCAGCATTACTGTGTTCCGGTTTTGAAGGGTGAAATTACTGGCACATGGGTCTTGTCAACTTACGTCTCTGGGTGACGGGCGCAGTGGCAGTGTTCCTCACATCTTTGCGATTTAAAGCTCTGAGTGGTACTGCAACTGTTATGGACAGGCGTATAGCTTACCATCAGGCGCACGACTTGTTCGTCCCGTCACTTGATATTAAAAAAAACTTCTAAAGCAAATATTTAAGGCAGTTATTGATTGCAGTAAGTTAAGCCGCGATCGTAGATTATGGTTTTGTCAATTTTTGAATGAAATAACCTTTATTACTGCGTACAAACAAACCTGAATTCAAAATATATACGCCTGTCAACGTTATGGTATTATGTCTAAACAAAGGGCTGGCTGACGTCTTAAAGTCTTTATTACATATTATGCGAATACACCTCTTTTAAAGGACAAATATAAAGTTGACGTTCACACAGTTACCCCAAAGGAGGACTCCAGAGCTGAGAATTGGGTACACAGTTCCATAACACGCTGTCAGTAGAATGTCACGTGAGGCATTTCTTGTCAGCATCAACAGGGCGTATGATAGACTTGATAGTTTATAGTTTATGGTTTCAATTTGATAAAAAAAAAACAAAAAATTGATCTTTTCTTCATACTGCTTCACAGATAAGGCTTTATTTACTATTAAGATTGACACATCATCAGCAAATAGTACACCTGTATATCGTGTTAATAATGGCAGTTCATTTATATAGAGCACAAACAATAAAGGGCCCAAGATACTACCCTGCGAAACTCCTTTTTATAATTCTATTAGTGGATTGTACGTTCGTTTCAGTTTTTTTACAAGTGTCAAAGTAACTAATTTCAGTAACCTGCGTACGATCACTCAAATATTACGCAAACCATTGCAGTGCCATTCCACGTATCCCCACAACAAACACAACACAAGAGGAAAAGCATGGTACGCAACCCTCCACTATGAAGATCGCCTACCTTGCACTCACCCCATTCTGGTAGAGTACATCCGCAAGTTACACGAGGCGCCGACGCTGCAGAACGTGACTCGAACCAGCACGATTACCAAATCGAACTCATCGATCGTCATTCTATAATCTAGCATCGATTAGAACACTAGCATAGTCAGCTCATAAGTTCATATTGTTAATTAAATTCTTTTTTTAATTAAATTACTATTAAAATCACGATTTCGAACATTTCGAACCTCCGGCGGCAGTTTACGTAATTAGCACAACTGAGTATTTATTTAAATTGTTTGATCAATGTACACTAACCTGGTGTACCAAAAGGCAAATGTCAGTTGTAGCCTCATCTACTGAGGCTGAATATATGGCATTATATGAAGCTGTTAGGGAAGCATTAGTATTTTAAATCTTTAGCAAGAAGCATTAATATGGTAATTGATAATCCTATAATAATATACAAAGATAATAACGGCTGTATCAGTATCGCAAATAACCCAACCAGTCACAAAAGATCGAAACACACCGACATTAAATATCATTTTTCTAGGGAACAGATTGTGAAAAATGCAATTAAGTTAACTAACATACCCACAGGTGAACAATTGGCAGACGCGTTGACTAAACCGTTACCAGCAGTAACATTCCATGCAATGCGAAAGAACATGGGATTGGAATGAATAATTTAATAATTTTTATGTTTTATTAATTTAATAATGTAACCATTACATTAAAAATTTTATGAAACAAATCAAATGGTCTGATTAGGTTTTCCTGGGGTTTTTCTAATCCTTGCAACGAATGTTGGTCCATTATCATGTAATTTCCCAGATGTACTGTTTAGTTATTATTACTTTGAATTTGTATTTATGATTAATTTTTGAGTGGGCTTGTTCATTTGTTTAAATTTGACAATAGAAAAATTAATCGATTTCTACTTTCCACCATTATTCGTTTTCTTTATTTTTTAATTTGTGATAATTACTGTCAGTTGCACACCTCGCCTAGTTTCCTTTGTTCAAATTCATGAAAATAATTTTCAAGTTATCCTGAGTTACTTCTTTGTATTTCTTTCTACCATTATCCCAACTCTAATACATACTGACAATGCATTTCGGGACGACGCGTTTAATCGAACAAAATGCTTGAAAACAACCAGATTAACATTAAATTTGTCACGAACTGTTAATACCAGCAATATTCGATGCAGCATGATGAAATGGATAGTGTCGCAAATTCAATAACCGCCGCGCTAATGCAGGATGGCCTGTACTGTGTCGACAAACGAAGGCAGCAGACCGCCTGAGACCGTTAGCGCGGCGGCAATGTGGTCTGCCCTCGGCGTCCGCGCGGCGGCCGCGCGGGGTGCACGCGATAAGATTCGTGTCGAATAAATGCCCCCTTAGACACTTACATTGTCCACGAAGAACGCAACGTTGTCCGCGTCGAGCAGGCGCTGGCACTCCTCGTCCGATACCGCCAGGTTAACTGTACACATAATCAGAATTATCACACAATAGGAAAATAAGTACCTACGTCTTACACTAAAATACCCAATTAACTAATTATCAATGTGTGTACAGGACTGTACCACGTTTGTTCAACGAGTCTTTGTGTATTATTTTTCAATGAATAGTTGCTATGTTGTGACGTTCCGGTACCCAGGATGTGGTAAATAAAATACCGAAACTCGACAAAAATGTAATTTGTTTATTTATTTATTTATTTCGGGCATCCAACAGCTTGCAATACATTAACAATTTCAAATATAAACAATCCTGTATACTACGACAATTACAGGAAATTTACCACAAATATTTTATTAAACTTACAAATTACCGCTAATAATAAATGTTGACATATTTATACTCTAAAAATTTGCTTAATATTTACGTGACTGTGAAATTTGCATTAGTAGTTTATTTCTTGATTCATTGTGCAGATTATATTATTAAAAGAAAAAGACAAAGAAGTACACCGGCCGTAACCTTAGTGGCACCGCCTCGACTGGCCCTAATAATTTACTGCGTCCAGCGATACCGACGATGTTGTTATAAAATTAAATGTCACGGCTTCATTACTCCACAAAGTCTGCCGATATTGCGGAGTATATATGGGTGAAAGCCAATACTACTCTGAAGGTCGAGCAGTTGAGGTTCCGCCACAATGCAAATTTTAATTCATTTGTGGTGAGAGTACCAACTCAACATCTGTGGACCTTTATGAAGAATGAGTGATGGGACGAACAAGTCATGCGCCTGACGGTAAACTACTCGCCTGTCCATAACAGTTGCAGTGCAAGATCTGAGGGGCACTAAGTCATGTCCAGCAGTGTTCTACGATCTTCAAGGGAATTCATGTGATGATATTTGTATGCTTCAGCGAACGATAAAAACTGCTTTTTGTTCTATAGTTTAGATGTATACTAAATAACCTTCTGAATGCGTTCACTACTATTTTTCAAATGGTATATTTCCAACCGCTTTTAAGAAAGCACTAGTCCACCCGGTTTATAAGTCGGGGAGCTGAGATTGTGTCAGTAACTATCGCCCAATATCCGTCTTGACAACTCTCTCTAAAGTTTTCGAGAAATTGTTAAACAGTCGTCTTATGGGGTTTCTAGAGAAAAATAATTCATTGTTCTCTTACCAATACGGTTTTCGGCCCCGAATGTCTACTGGTGGAACTGTTCATTGCCTTACTATGTCGTGAGAGCCTTAGATTGCCTGGCGATTTTCCTGGATCTTAAAAGAGCTTTTGTTCGGGGTAGTGGTGATTGTTGATGTTGATGTTGATAAACACAGTTTAAATGTATAAAGTTTATTGTTAAAAATAGTAAAAATGTTATGAATGCACACGGATTTGTATGACTTGTGGAAATGCACTAGTAAAGGCGACCGCCGGCGCATGCCGCCAAACGCTTACGTTAACGGTGTTCGATTACATCGAACACTCCTGGTTCCTAAAAATATTTTCACTCAGAAACACCATTCTTCCGCACTGTGAACACCGCTCCATTAGAACCCATTACCACTCCTGTGTTATTCCTTGTCAGTGTGACTGTCCAGTATTATCAAGAACAGACAGCATCAAGTATCTAGGAGTTTTGGTGGATAACAATCTTTTTTCCTACCTCATGTGAACCTCCTATGATATAGAGTCCGATTTTTTTTATAATAATAATAACGCACACACTCAACATAGCCCCGCACTACGGAAACCCTGTGTCGCGAGTGCCATGGACACACACAGAGACAACCACAAATTACACCCTAACTCACGAGTGAAATATGTGGTAAAATTAATATTTATTATCAAAAAATCTTCGATACGTTGCTGTCTGCCTCTGTTATTAAAATGGTGTACCATGCCTTGCGTTATTCATTGTCATCGTGTATATAACCAGAAATAGAGACGAAATAAGGGCCATATATTCTTGATAACACATTAGCGATACAGCTCTTATAAATATCAACTCCCGTTTGCACTGAAATATAGACAGGCCAACTACTAACCTGTGTGTACGTCTCAGTATATTCCAAAAAATATTCTGTATTTATTGTAATAAAGATAATATCTCCAACAATGTCGTGCTGTTCTATTCGGTGATGTGGGAAAACAGCAAAACATCTAATTACAAAACAAACGGAATCACATTTCATCGGTAATTAAATATTGAATATGTAATTTTGTAATTTTCGTCCATTAACTGGTCGATTTGAAGTGAAACAGTTGACGACACCCATCAATTGTTTCGAACACGGGCTAGCCAATCGGAGCGCAGTTGTCACAGTAATGATTTGGCGGAATAGTTTTGAAGCAAATTATATGACATTTCGTCTCTATTTCTGGTTATATACTCGATGTTCATTGTTAACGTATTGTATAGTCTCTTGGGGCGGCCGTAAAAAACACATATGTTATCGCTGGAAAGGGCTCAGAGAATGATTTTAAAGGTGTGTACTTTCAAGCCATTTCAGCGCCCTACCGATGATTTGTATAGGTATTGCGAGGCAGTTCGTCTACTATTCATTCTAGCTGTCACCCTGAATCAAAATTCCCCATAACATTGGCAGCATTACCGTGTCGAATAGCCAACGAAATTTGTTGCATTACGTAAGATCCAGAACGTACTCAAGTCAGGACTTGAGTATTGCAGTGAGCACTGAAAATCATACTCAAGCCCTTGCCAATTAGGGGCCGTATTTCCAGTGCTTGAAATCATACTCAAGTCTGCTCAAGTTCTTTTTTTTTTTTTTTTTTTGACGGGGGGGAAATCTTTATGGATACCCCTGAGCCCAGGGAGACTCAGGGGTTATGTGGGGACTCTCCCTCCAGACTGGAGGGCCTACCCCACTAAAACCCCCCCGGGTTTCCCTCTCGCCGGTTGAGTCGGCGCCGTGGGATCGGTGAACATTCACCACGACGCCGCCCGGCCGCCCTAGCTTGCGCCACGGCTCCCGCGCCAACGGAGGGGCGAGTCGGTTGTCCTCCGACCCGCCCCCCAGACGAGTGAGGCCGTGCAATGCAGGCTCCGGAGTGAGTCTGCTCAAGTCCTGACTTAAGCACTGAGTAGAGTTCTGGAATACGATCCTAAGATACCTTTATGTAAACAGGTTTCCGTGAGTAATACTATATCATAATCAGAAATTTATGTGGTATGTGGTCAGAACTCCTTGGCTATCTTTAAAATTCTGATCTTTTGGTGATATATTGTTATTGAAAGAAAGTTTTAGAATATTAATATTTAAAAAAACACTTGTAGCAGCCACAGACGTGCCAGAATGTCTAACCCTCTTCCGACATTCAGGCACGTCTCAGTGCAAGCAAAAGTAACAACCATGCCTTGTGAATCAGCATAAGACACACGTACCAAATTAGTATAAATAAGTAGCTCAAGAAAATATACCACAGTTATAATCAGTTCATACATCAGTTCATACAGTAACATACAATCATTCTCCATCAAACTACCATGGCGAAGTGGTGACTACCAACACCTTTCACCTGCGCCATGGTAAAACACTAATTGAGAGTGTGTGTGTTTGCGTGTGTGCGTGCGTGCGTGCGTGTAATTTGAGGAGTACTGATAGCTGCAGACCGCACTTTGCACAATTTAAAATTTTGACTTTGTTTTCTATATATTTTTGAAATTTGTAAATTTATTAAACAACACCGTGACTTTCATACTAATATTGACGACACGCCCCAACGACACACTTTAAGACCACGCAGTAGTTTGCTTCTGCCACAATCTCAGCTCAGTATTCACTGTTTGTATATAAATTAAAATTATATCATATCAATAAATGCTATTACAATTTAAATGATTGCGTTGATGACAAAGAAAAATAATAATATTATAATAAATTTGAATAATAAACAAATCTTAACTATATGTATACTATAAAGTTATGCTACAGTGATCTAATTCAATTCAAACTTTCTATCTACATTCGATCTCATTTCTATCTACATCTACATTTTATTATATATATATATATTTATTAATTTTTTTTCTTATTTATTTATTTATTTATTTATTTATTTATTTATTTATTTGGGATAACAACAGCAATAATGATAGGTTACAAAAAATTAATTACATATTACAAAGCCAATAACGGTTATCCTCGATTTATACATTAAAATAAAAACAGAGCACGGGGTGTCTATAAGCGTGATAAATAATTATACAGATTATATACATACATATAATTGTGAAACAAATTAAGTAAACTAAATACGTACACCTACATACAAACAATACTTACTATACACAATAAAACCTAATATTAATAAGTATTATACACTGTACCTACATATGAAGACAACTTAACACTAAATCATAAATACTTCTAACATTATAAAAATAGCAAACTATAACTATAAAAGAAATGAATAAATAAATGAGCAAAATAAAATAAATTAAGTGAATTAAGTGAACCTACGCATCGCGTTTGAAAATTAATTCTTTAATGTTTGACTGGAAAAAATGCTTTTTATCTACAAAGGGATCAACGTCATAGAAATATTTATTGTAACCAGTAACTAATCTTGTAAGCACAGAGTTTTTGCCGTAGTTTGTGCAGTGAAATGGTACATGAAAAAGAGACGTATGTCTGGTACGACGGGCAGGCACTCGAAAACTTTTTGCTGTAATAAATCTGGACAATCCAAACGACCATTGAGTACATCAAACAAAAGACCCATATCCAACAACTCACGACGCTCCTGGAGACTTAACAAATTGTATGTGCGATAGATATCAACGTAAGGTGAATGAAAATCGGTTAATCTACATTTATTATTCAAGTGCTTTAGGAACCTCTTTTGAATTCGTTCAATTTGATTAATATAAACACTATAGAGTGGTGACCATATAGGACTAGCATAGTCCAATATGCTACGGACATAATGCCGAATACAACAATTTTAAAGTGGTCGCACAATTAAACGATTGACAAGTTCGTAGAACAAAGCCCAAGTTCCTATATGCCCTGTTAGTAATACTGTTATAATGATGAGACATAAGCATTTTGGAATCAAAATAAACACCCAGGTCCTGCACAAGTATATATATATAAAACAATAAATCAAATTCAAATTCAAAATTATCTTTATTTCATTGGTAAGCATTATTACACTTGAAATCGTCACAATGGGTAAACTCTACCGCTCATTCGTAAGGCAGATTCCCCTGAGAAGAATGAGCAAGAAACTCTAGGGATTGCTCTTTGTAAATAACATTTCCAATATTTTTTTTTATTTGAAACATCAGACATCGAGACTACCTCCATAAGCTAAACGGGTTACTACCACGGATTTTTGTCATCCAAGTACGCAGAAGTTGTATAATAACCTTTAGTATAAAGTTTTTGTTTCACTATAGTTTTAAACCTCGTGAAAGGCAAATTTTGTATATCAACCGGAATCTTGTTATAGAAGCGTATACATTGCCCCTTAAATGGTTTTTTGACTTTGTGAAGACGACTATCAAGAAAAGCTAGTTTATTTTTATTCCTTGTATTAAATGTTATGTCTGTCACTATTTTTCATAAAGGAATTACTATTCCTTTTAACATAAATTACATTTTCATAAATGTACTGTGAGGCTAGTGTAAGAATGTTAATTTCCTTAAATTTATCTCTCAAAGATAATTTGGGGCCCAGATTGTAACGTTTCTGCAGGACAAAGACTCTATTGATGCCGTATGTCATTATATGATATGCCGTATGTCATTAGACTGTGAAAGTAGGTGAAGTAAACCAATCTAGCGGTTTCGACGTCTGAAAGTTTCCTAATTTTTCTAATCGCGTACACTGCAGAGCCGAGCCGTTTTGGTAACTTACTTATATGGGAACCCCATTGCAATTTAGCATCTAATGTTATACCTAGAAATACAACTGTATCCACAAGATTCAATTTTTCGTTTCTAACTATAATGTTTGTAACCGTCTCTCTAACATTGGGTTATGTAAATTTCACTCAATTTGTTTTTTTCTCATTAAGAAGTAGGTTATTAATAGCAAATCAATCAACTACTTTAGATATAGCGTTATTCACATCGTCGTAGGAACAGTGTTGCCTTTTAACTTTAAATAATAAGGAAGTATCATCAGCAAACAATACTATCTCATGTTTTATACCCTCCATAAGGCTAGGTAAGTCATTAATATAAACTAAAAACAAAAATAGGCCTAGAATTGAACCTTGAGGGACACCCATGCTAATTGCAGACCCTGATGATCTCGTACCGTTAACATCGACCCTCTGTACCCTACCATGCAAATACGATTTAAGAAGGTCGAGATCACGTCCCGCCACACCATAATGGCGAAGTTTCCTGACCAGTGTATCATGGTGCACACAATCAAAAGCCTTGGAAAGGTCACAGAATATACCAATAGCATCATGTGAGACTTCACACGCATCAAATATATGACTAATTAACTCAACACCAGTGTCGGTTGTAGAGCGACCTCGAGTGAAACCAAATTGTTTAGGAGACATTAAGTTATTACTATAAAAATGTGCACACATCTGATTTAGAATAATTTTTTCAAATATTTTACTGAGAGTTGGTAGTAAATACTACCAGATTGGAAAAGTGGAATAACTTTACTTTGCTTCATGAGGTCAGGAAAGACACCATCATCAACACATTTATTAAAGACACAGGCTAAGTAAGGCGCAATACAAAAAAAAAACTATAGAACTAATTACTCTGATTGAAAAACCATCAAGATCAGCAGTATTTTTTATGTTTATAGACTTCAAGGCTTTAACAATATAGTTTGGAAATACATGATGGAAGCTTAAATTACTGATTAGTATCACTAATTACTTATAATAAATAAGGTGGGAGATGAATTTACTTCTACATACTTATATTCTCTAACCATTCCTTGTGCATGGTCATATGAGCCGACGCACCAGAATCTACATACCAGTTCATGGCATCGTTCAACTGCATGGCTGAAAAAGCAGCTATAAAAACATTGTTATTCTTACCTTCTTTGTTACTAGCCTTATTTTTGCGGTGCCAACAATTTTTACCGTAATGCCCAAATTTATTACACTGAAAACACTTGGGGCCTTTTGACTGTGACTGATTACTTTTAAAATTATTATTTTTAGAATTTGTGTAAAATGCGGTAGTGTCAACTTTAATTTCTTGTAGAAGTTTGGTCTTAATCAAATCGGCACTAATTGTTACACCGGAGTTCTCTATAGCCATAATCATCGGCTTGTTTAGTATATCTGTATTGTGTGTATTGTATATCTGGCGAGCCCGCTAACATTAAAGTCCCAAGCTATTCATCATCGACTTGAAAATATATGTTTCTCAGTTTATGAGCAGATGTCATAATTTTATTCACGTAATCTTCTACACTAGCGCTTGATTCTAATGTTGTATTTATTAGGTCTTTCAATAAACCAACCTTGCGGGGTAGACTGGAGTCTTGAAATGCTTTAGACAAATTTTGCCATACCTGTTTTGATGTTTTTGCATCTTGTATATGTACATACAACATAGGGTCCACCAATAATATCATCTTCGACTTCGCCTTTAAATCCTTCTTCACATCAGGAGTTTTATTATCTTCAATTTCAATACATTCCCATAGTTCCTCATGTTGTAGGGAGGCTTTTACGGCAAAACTCCAACTCGTCCAATTGTCGCGACCAGTAAGCTTTTCAATCGATATCAAGGAGTTATTTGATGACATTTCTAAGCTAAAAAGAGTGATCGCAAGAAAAAACCGCGTGTGCCCGAACACTTCTAGGTTTTGAATTTTTTTTTGTAAAACTGTAAATATACTTTTAATTACTGTAATTTTACTTCACAAGTACGGGGCGGCCCATAACCTGATAAAATAAATAGACTTTACTATTTAATAGATTTATTTAGAAGTAAAATTAAATATTCCGCAGAAATGGGAAACATGCAATGATCCATAATAACACACTCGTGATAGATGGAAAGAAAATAAATATACACGAATTACAACCCACACAAAAAAATAAAAAAATTCAACCTCACCAAAACCACGTTCAGAAGCAATCATCTAATGAACAACTACAGCAATTAGATCAAAGTCAATTTGAAAGTAATTTTCGAGACTTTTAACTTTATTTACCAGAACATCCGCAGCACACTACCGAAAACACACCTCCTGGAAGATCTTCTGGATGTCAAATCACAAACGAGTGCCATATGCATCACTGAAACAAAGCTTGATAAAGAAAAACTAAAATACCTACAAATTAGTGGATACTATATAGCGACATCGTACTGCAGACAAATCCAGGAAGGAGGAGTTGTATGTATTCTTTTGAAGAACTTCATTGAAAGCATGGAACGTGAAGATATTAACAATTTAGCCATAGAATAAGTTTTTGAAATTTGTGGAATCGAGATTCCCTACATTATAGTATTGTACTGGCCCAACAGTAATAGTGATAGAAAAATTTTTTATAATCAACTTGACACGTTATTGCAAATATTAGAAACAAAAGATAAAACTAAGTCTACAATATTGGGTGGAGATTTTAACACAGACTACTTACCAACAACTAATTTGAAAAGAAAAAGAAAAAGACTACTCTCCAATCTTATGCTATCATCAAACTTTAAACAAAACGCAGAAGAACCAACTCGAGTCACACACTACATCATCCTGTTTAGACTTAATATTTTGAAACTTAAAAAATCAGTCCTTAGAGACATCCGTCGAAGAATACGGTTTCTCCGACCATAAAATTCACCAGGTTTAAAATACCTGACAGTAAAAAAAAGAAAATTTAGCGAACAAAACATGAATAACTTCAAAAATGCAATACAATTAATTAACTGGCACGATATTATGCAAACCGAAAAAAATATAAATGAAAATTATAATACTTTCATATTTCAATTAAATTTGGATAAATACATACCCAAAAAACTTATAAAAATACATCAAAGAAGAAAAATTTCATGGTTGACAAAAGGATTTAAAACGTCGTGTAGAAACAAGAGACTAGAAAAAATATTTATATCTAAAATTAATAATGAAAATTTGAATTCTAATTATAAAGCATACGAAAAATATTAAAAAAAACAGTTCATAAAGCAAAAAAACAACAAAATATAACAAAGTTCAATCAATCTAACAATAAAATTAAAACAATGTGGTATATAATAAATAATAAAATAAATAACAAACCACGTTTAAAAAAAACAAAATACACAATTAAAAGTCAATAATATCTGTGAATCAAACCCATAACAGTTTCTAACACTTTCAATAATTACTTTGCTCAAGTAGGCAACGAAAATAAATCAAACGGAAATATTGAAAAATCTAGACCAGCACATACAGTCAGCTACGTTGAAGACTCACTATACCTACAACCCGTAGAACCTCGTGAAGTAAACTATATAATAAAAAACTTAAAAAACAAAAGTAGCTATGGCATTGACGAAATTCCCCCAATCTTGATAAAAATGCGCTGAAACCTTAACAATACCCTATTCACTACTCGTAAATCAATCTTTTTTGGAAGGCTGCTATCCAGATGCTTTAAAAACGTCAATTGTAAGACCAATATTTAAAAAAGGTTGTAAAACAGACCCAAACAACTATAGGTCCATATCGTTATTACCGACATCATCAAAAATATTTCAAACGGCAATGTGTACAAGATTAAACTCATTCTATGAAAAATATAAAATATTTAACGAAAATCAACACGGGTTTCGAAAACATCATTCTACTATTCTTGCTGTATACAAATACACACAAAAAATACTAGATATACTCAACGAAAGAAAATATGCCGTAGGCCTCTTGCTTGATATGAGCAAAGCCTACGATCGCGTAAAATACAATTTATTACTAAACACACTCTACGAAACAGGCATACGAGGTATCGCCCATAAATGGATGACCTCTTATCTTTCAAAAAGGTAAACAGTGGCAGTGTGTAGAAATAGAATATACAGATTATAAAACGGGTGAAATCCATTATGTAAAGTCAGATAAAATTATTATTCAAAATTCTATCCCACAAGGTACTGTCCTCGGTT